CGGGGCTTTCCCCTTCCCACGTGACGCGGCGGCGCGAGCCAATAGGAGCGCGCCCAGGCCTCCGGCGGGGAAGTCGGTGTTTGCCCCCAAGATGGAGGCGGGTGCGCCCTTCCGCCCTCACGCTTCCTTTCCTCGGGCTCTGGGAGGCAGCGTTTTGGGGTGGGCGAGTTCTTGTCCTTTTCTCTTGTTTCTCCTTGGGGGTGGGCTGCGCACTCACAGTTGCGGGGAGAGGGAAGTGACTTTTCCCTTTCGTTCTCCCATAGCCGTTATAGGAGGGGCTGTGTGGAAAAGGGATCCTTTACTGAGTTGCTTATCCTGAAGGGCACCCTGCTCCTCTCTTATTTCTTCTCAACTGTCCCGTGTAGGGTAGGTCTCCCTAGTCCTGTGGCAGAGGGTGATGTTTCTTAGGTAGGGGGACATCTTCCTTTCAGGGCTGGCTGGGTACCGTGAGTTCCTCTTTTCAGCACAGGTAGACTCTATCCTTCCCCCCACATTGCTCCCAGGTCTGGTTGTAGGAGCTGAAGGGGGTATGAGGCCCTTTTTATCTGCCAGGAGCGTTGTGATGGCAGGTGGTGCCTTCTGGAGTGTTTGAGCTTGGGACTGGTTCTTTGTTGGAGGTGTTGGTAGAAAAAGGCAATGTTGGAAGACTTTCTTTTGTTTGTGGGCCAGTGCTGTTCCTAGACCTGCTACTGGTTTGTCACAGCATTCAGTCATAGCAGGGTGTGATGTTAATGTGCTGCATGCGTTTGGTATCTTGTGAGATTTAATCAGTGGGACAGGCTTGAATTTCCTTATCTCACAACCTTCTCTTCCCACAAGTGATTCCTTCATCAACCTGAAGTATGATTGTATTTTAATAGTTGTATTGTTTATATGCCACCAAATGTGTGGTATTTCTTCACATGAAAGCAAGAGGCGTTCCCATTGCCTGGATAAGGGGCAATTAGCAGACATCTTGGAGGCAAAGTTCAGGCTGTGACGGGGAGGCACAGTTGCAGTTAAGGCAATGATGTGAGACCTAAGAGAGATCTGACAATGAGGCAAACACCCAGTGGAAAGCATGCAACACCTTATCCTCATATGCACCTGAGTGCCTGCAGTTACAATTAATTTAAACTGCATTATAAACTTCAAAAGATCAAGCCTCTGGTGTGTATCATTCCTCAGACCATTTTATTAGCATGATAGTAGTTTGTTATCTAAGGAGGGTAGTCTGTGTGTAAACTCAGTAATAATAATGAGTCATTGACATGCACCAGTTATGAGGATCATATGGCAACCTCGACAGTATCCTTGAAAGACGCATGACTTTAAAGAATAGAAAGTGCTGGCCTGAGTCAAGAAAGGGATTTGAGTGAAGGAGTTGTGTAATGGTACAGGTGTTTGTAGTAATGAAGATTAGAAAGGTGGTTCAGGAGGAAGTAAGGGCATAGAAGTAGCCTGGAACTGAACTTTGCATCATGTGTTAATGATGTTTTTTTAGCTGAAGCATGGTGGGGTAGAAGCCTTTTTAAGAATATGTTGGCGTTGCATGTTGAGTAATTAGTGATGCTAATAGTATTTATAGTGCACAAGAACACACTGTGCTAGGCACTGTCCTGCCACAGAACAAGGAGATGGCCCCTGCCACAAAGAGTTTATGAATCAAACAACAATGTTGTGTCATGAGTTAAGTTCTTTAATCTGTATAAAATCAGTTTCAAGGGTGGTACTACTCTATGAATAGGGAGCCTTTCAAGTACTCTTGCTAACCTGATAGCAGTCCTGATTTGTTGTAATAATCAGCATTTGTTGTTCAAAAATGATCTTGGGCTTTGTGGTTCCTTTGTACCAACAACTTGGCCACAAAATGTAAAGCTGTTGAGGAGGGTGTTAAAGCTGAGACTGTTTATGTGTGTAAGTGTAATACCAAGAAACAACTGCAATCCGAATGAGCTGTTTTCCTTTTTCCTCTATGATCTGGCCAGCTGACTGCACCTATTAACTTAATTTGAAAGTTTCATGCGGATAGTTTGGATTAAATACAATAATAAAGAAAGTGATTAATAAGGTTTCTCCAGTGTTACCAGCAGCAATTTAGCTTCTAGAATCTTAATTTTTAAAAGTCAATTTCTTTTTCCTCTCTATAATATATATTTAATTTTTTTTGTGCACCTTCAGATAGGATGATAGCTTTGATTTGGATGTTAAAATACAATGATGGCTTTAATAATAATTTTCATGTGTTTTTTAAATTAAATATTTTTATTTTAACTTGCTTTCTTTTGGATAAAAAGTGCTTTGGGACTAATTTCCATCTGTTTATTTCAACTGACTAATTGATAGAGGATGGGGGGGGGGGACGGACGGGGCAGAAAGGAACTAAAGCCATAGCATGAAATCTAGGCAGGATTAGCTTTTTCTTTAGCTTCAGGGTTAGTGTCATAGGGCAGCGGGGCAGTGTGTGTGTGCGCGTGTATGTCAGAGTTTGTAATAATAACTGGAAATAAATGCAAAACTAAAAATTTCCTGAGCTATAGGAGAACAAATGTAGTTGAGCTTGCTACCTCAATAAGGCTGGCAGTTGTGGGACTGGGATACCAGGGCCCGGTTCATTCTCAACTCTATCAATAAATGAACTTTTAACTGTAAGTAGTTCACATACAGCATCTATATACTGTATCAGTTTGCTTTGAACATGTGTGTGATAAAACAGGTTCACTCAGCAGAACAGGGACACTAGTGTCATCTTACTAATGACTAAATATTAGTCGGTACTACAGATGTGTTGCTTTAGACTTTTATAAAAATAGTCTTCCTGTTCCAGAGAGCTTTTAATTCATATAATGTTGAAAATATAAGATGAAGTGCTGGCACAAGAAAGGAGCAATTCATCTAGTGATAAAGTTTTGCTTTTAACTAATATTTTTTTTTTTGCTTACTCTTTAACAAGTAATTCAAGATAAAAACATTATATCTGAAAAGGAAAACTGTGGCTCAGCCTCAATTTTTCCCTTATTCTTTCACTCTAGAGTTACAGCTTGCCACTCAATCCTAAAAATAAACTCTGTAAGGTGAAGGTTAAGTGCTAGTAGCAAATCCTTCCCAATTTGCATTGACTTCCTGGTATGGAGGAGGCTGTATGAAGCCTGGGGGGGGTTTGTGTGGGGTTTTTTTTTTCTTTCCTGGCAGCAGGAGTTTTTAGCAACTGTAAATGTTTCCAGATGGTAAGGATAAAAAGGTAAAAGTGATTTTTAAGTATATTAAAACTTCTCCTTCAGGAATTTAATGCAATGCATTTTGAAAATTCAATGCTATATTAAAGAACTATCTTGGTTGTGCATCAAATATAGCTGTAACTCTTTACTGCAATCTTTTTCATCTCTTTGAGATGCAGAAGTTTCCTTAATACTTTCTGCTGCTTAATATCACCATCCTTTCCCATTGACTTCATCGCTTACACTTGCTACTGTTCCTAACTCCCTCTTTAAGGTCTACTTCTGTTTCATTTAAACTGCTCTGCTTCAGTTTCTCTTCATTGAAAATAAACACTTGCTTCAGAAACTTAATTTGAAATGTGTTCTTCAGAGCATATATTGCCCTTTCACTGCAGTCCTACATCCTGTCTTCAGTTCTTTCAAAATATTTAATGGTATATTTTTATATTGTCTTGACTTTCTGTCCACCCACACTTTCACTGATCTCCTCCAATCTTCTTTCTGATGTTTGAGTTCATTGAACTGCTGTAAGGTCACAGGTGGCTTGTTCGTGGTTAAATCTGAGGCATAATTCTTGTTTCACCCGTCTTAATCTGTCTGTCACCTTTGGCACTCAACACTGTTCCTTCTGTTTTCTTTACTTGATGTATGGGGTGTTTTCATCGATATTTTCCAATTATACGGCGGTGTTTTTCCATAGACTTTGTCATTTACTCAGCTCTGTTCCTGAAGTTAATGTTTTCTGCTGTATTGGACTCATTTCAGTTCTAAGTGCCACTGTAACTTCTAGATCCTTCTAGTTAACTCACTGTGACTTCTAGCTCTTTCTAGTTAACACACTACCTTCCTTTTTAACCTCCTCC